GCATTCATACATTCGGCAATCATACACATAATGCAATCGGGACGGACTTCGCAAGGACAAGTGTGAGCAAAAACCCAAGCCCAGATTCCAGAAAGCCGAAAATAAGAACGGGCAAAACCACCCGGAGCCGCAATCAAAATGTATGTACACAGATGAAGAGGGGGAAGAGACAAAGAAACAGCAAATCCGCGTCTATCGACCTCAACTCTCTCCTTCTCTCTCTCTCTTCTCGGATGCGGACAGTCCGTCGTCACGCACCAACCCACGAAGTTGTCACCCCGCTTAGTCCTCCCGCACCCATCGGATTCGCATGTGCCCACAGTCCGTCGTGGCCCACGTTAATCCCGTGCGTTCGGCACCAGCCCGTCGGGTTGCCCAACTCATACTCTACTCACCTCTTACTTCGCTCGTGTGCCGACCCTTCCTGATCGCGCAACCCCGAGCTTCCATCAACGGGTTAAGAGAGCTGACTAATCGCGCAGCCGAAATTTATAGTGTGCATGCATGCGCGAAGAACACGGAATTACCAGGACTTAGAGTGGGGATTAGAGAGGGAGCGCCTGCGTTCTGCATGGTCGGGCCGCGGCGTGGGGGACGTAGCCCTTCTCCACGCATCGATCCGAGCATGCAAGCCGTGGCTTACGAAAACTTCAGCAACAGAAAGAGAAGGAGGGCGGGAAAGACAAGATGCAAGAAGGAAAATACAGTTAGAATGGCGTCCGCCCCAAAATTACAGTTACACACACGATTAAGGGCGCCTACTAATCAGAATACCGTTCCAGCCGCAAAAAGAAGTGCGTGGACGAAGGCGCCGCGCGGCAAGAAAAAGAAAAATCCTAACTACTGAATTCCTAATTCCTATCTAATGCGAAGAAGCAAAAAGCACAAGGTTCAGAAGGAAAGTCTGAAATTCCGAGAGCCATCGGGGGAGAGCCATCGGGGACTCGACAAAATTCAAAAGGAAATTCAAAAGAACGAAGCAAATTCCCCGTGCGACGCCTGCGCCCAAAAGATCGAAACCGAAATGAAAGAAACGACGTCAATATTTATTAATCGCGTGCGCGCGCGGCTGCACGCCAGACGTCCATCCGACCAATCAATCAACCGACCGTCCCAAGACACACCCAGCTCCGTGCCTAGCCATTCGAAAAAGAAGCGACGAAAAGGACGAAAAAAAAGCGAGGACACTAATGCAATTCTCCACCGATCTCGATCTCCCGTAATTGGCCCAATCTTCCCAGCTTAGGACCCCTTGTTGCAACCGCGCAGAAAATCGCGCGTTACAGAAAGTGGTTCGTCACAACCCCCTTCATCCGCCCGCCGCTCCTGAGATCGCTGAGTCAGCTCACCCACTGTCTTCCGCAGCTGTTGATGGGCCACCGCCAAGATGTCAAGCCATACCGCCCCGTGTAGTTGTAGTATCCCCTCTGAATCCATCGCGCTTCTGATGAAAGTAGTCAATACTCTGGTTGGCACTTCCCCTGTTCACGTGTCGTCCTCCTTCGGAAGAAGCACGTCACGCACGACCATACTGCCACGTGTCGGGCGCATCAACAGGCCCAGCAACCTGGGAGAGAAAAAAACTCCCCAGATGCTGGTTGAGCCAGGTGCAACCGAGCCTCGTCGGTTGGCTGGCGCAGGATGCTAGCACTAGCGCTCCAGCGGTCCTGGCATAGCAATCCTTAGTACTGATGTCGGGGGTGTCAGGAGATACTGCACCTTACCGCAGGGCCGGAACGGGCTCTAGGGATATACGAGGGAACGGAGGATCCCCATCTCTCTACCATCAACATCATAGTACACTGTAATAAAAAGACAACATTAGGATAAAGAAACTCAGTCCATAACTCATGACCTAGGGTTGGTTATCCTCCTAGTACGTAGCATAGGGTTGAGGCTGGCATAGTTGTTCCTTAGTACAGGATGTCGGGGGTGTCATGGCCGGAACGGGCTCCAGGGACATACGAGGGAACGGAGGATACCCAACTCTCTATCATCACCACACAACTAAGCTAGATGGGAGTCACTGTGCACCCTCATAAAGACCTGTAGTAGCATGTTCATACCTAGCTCCCGGAGTTCCCTTGCAATCAGGCTTGCAATCAGGCCATATAGCTGAAAATCGAGTATTGTGGGTGACTGCCATCCGTCTAGCAGCCCATGTGGCATAATGATGTAAGGGAAGCTGGACCCCGATTTTCAGCTATATGAATATACTAAGCGAGGAATATAAAAAACAAGGAGGTGAATCGTACACCCATGAGGTGTTGATTAACAGACTAGAGTTTGAGTATGACATAGGTTGTAGCTACACTACTCTTGACATGCAGAAAAGACAAAATTGTGGCGTTGTACCTTTTCATGTTGTAGCAGAAGATTCACTCTCATGTTACACATTTCGAGGGTAGTGGAGAGAGGCCCATGGTACACCCATGAACAAACTAGAGTTTGACTCCTACAATAAGTGTGAATTTGGGTCTCGCTCCACTACTGTAGACTCATGAAAACTTTCGTGAGCGCGTCTAGAGCCGTCCGAAGTGCAAAACTCTCAGAAATGAAGGCTTCGCTCCACTTACTCTAGAGGGGTGTACTCTAGAAGCCCTCTAGGTTTTCTTGAGCTCTTCCACCTCACTACAAGACAGCGCTGACCTGTTCTGACCGCGGCGACGTGAGGCCCCTTCTCGAAAAGAAATGACCGCAGCGGGACTCGGAGAGAGGACTCCAAAAAAACATCTCGTTGCAGGCTGGGAACTCCAGACACTTCAAGAGTGCCTTTTGAGAGTGCTTTCTAACAGCTCTCGAAGGGTGTTTTCAAGAGTACCTATCTAGAGTCAGTGGAGCGAGGCGTTACTCTCGAAGTTTCGTGAGTATAGAGTAGTGGAGGGGGACCCTTACACGGGCCTGGGACAGTTGATTCACGAATCATCTCTATAGAGTCTATACTATTAAAAGATACAAAGGTCCCGTGACTCCCGCCGACATGGCTGGTCGCGGGCCCAAGGGAAACCTGTGGACGGGTGGAACCGGGCAGGGGAACCGGTGCAGGGGCGAGGCCCTCGCTGAGGCGGGCAGGGAAACTTGAACCGGTGTAAGGGCGAGGCTCGCGTCGAGGCGGGCAGGGAAACTTGCGGCCAGGGAAAAGTGAATCGGGACGCGCGCACGACGCAGGTTTGTGAAAAGTGACGCGGGGACGTTGCATGGCATGTGCGTGTGTCGATGTATGCCGATGCGCGACGAAAGTGAACCGGGCCAACCCGCCCACGACACGGGTTGGCGAAAAGCGACGCGGGCTCAGGGGGCGGAGGGGAGGCCAACGCACGGCGCGGAAATCGAGGTGGGCCAAGGGCAGCGCGGAGCGGCAGCGCCCCCGAGAAGATGTGTGTGAGTGGGACGTTGCATAGCGTGTGCGTGTATCGATGCATGGCGATGAGCAGCGATGCGAAAGGGGCGAACGGGAGGTCCACGGGGAAAAGAGGCAGGGAGCAGGGCGGAGGGAGACGAGGCCGGTCATGTGCATGTGCGTGTAAGAGGGAGTGGGAGAGCGCGGTGGGCATGGCGCAGTGGGAGATAATGATAGCAGGTGTAGAGACGAGAGGACCTTGCTGCGGAGGTGTGCAGCGGAAAGACAACGTGGGTTCACGTGTCGATCGGCCGGTGGAGGGGATGGGAAAGGGCGAAAGCGAAGGTGCGGGGGGCAAAGAGGCCGCAGGCGGGGCGGAGGAGGAGGAGAGGGGCGATGTGCATGTCCGCATTTACGGGAGCAGGAGAGAGCACCGAGCATGGGAAATGCGGGAGGAGGACACGGCGGGAGATGATAATGAGTGAGGATGTGAGTTGATCTGTGGATCGATCAGTGCGGGGGTTGTCGACCAAGAGGTCACGGAGGGGAGACCGGCTTGCTGCGCTCGTGGACAGCACAACGACCACGAACAGCTGCACCTTTGCACAGCATAATGACAACGTAGATCGATCCGGACGTGAGTTGCCCTGTGGATCGATCAGTACGGGGGTTGTCGACGGAGAGGTCGCAGAGGGGAAAGCGGCTTGCTGCATCCGTGGACAGCAGAACGACGATGCGGATCAACCGAGTTGAGGCGAGGTCTGGGGGAGTAAAACAAACAACGCACTCGTGATGACAGATTGAGGTGTGTCTTCTCTCTCTCTCTCTCTCTCTCTCTCTCTCTCTCTCTCTCTCTCTCTCTCTCTCTCTCTCTCTCTCTCTCTCTAACAAAATTTGTCTCTCTCTGTCGCGCATGGTGTATATTGCGATGTCGTATCGCAGACACACACACACACACACACCAGTGTCGCCCGCGAGATTGCCATTTGTGAGAATGTTTGAGAGGAGAAGCAAAATCGGTTGAATCTCCCGCCACAGCATGGAAATATACACCGTCCCACCGGATTGCCATTTGTGAGTGTGTGTGTATGTGTGTGTGTGTGTGTGAGTGTGTGTATGTGTGTGTGTATGAGAGAGATAGAGAGAAAGAGATAGAGAGATATATAGATAGATAGATAGATAGATAAATAGATAGACAGATAGATAGATAGATAGATAGATAGATAGATAGATAGAGAGAGAGAGAGAGAGAGAGAGAGAGAGAGAGAGAGAGAGAGAGAGAAGGTAAGTTTCCAATCTCGTGGTTGTGCTCAAGCCTCAGGGTGCTTCCACTGCAACGAGGAGCAAAATCGAATGAATCTCCCATTACAAGAGAGAGAGAGAGAGAGAGAGAGAGAGAGAGAGAGAGAGAGAGAGAGAGAGAGAGAGAGAGAGAGAGAGAGATTCAAGAAAGATTCAAGAAAGTAGGACGGGACATCAAATAAAGCATGGACAAAAACTCCTTCCCGATAAATTTTCCGATTACAACCATTCTGAGATCATCCTTGCATACTCAAAAAACCATCTCCAATCCCTCGTACGTACTTCCCCGACGCGTTTCGCTGTCGACATACCCGACAGACTCATCAGGGGGCTATTCCCTAAAGGCTCAAGCATACTGATGACGATATCTCGCCCTCGTCTACTTTTTATATTGTTCACCTCTCGCCTCTAGGCCGGGATCCGGTGTGTATGTTCGTGTTCCAAGTATTCGTGAGAAGCCCTTCCTACCTCCCTACTTCCCTACCCTACTCCCTGCTCTATCCTACCAGTTCTTCCCGCTTTTTGCATCGTACGTACCTTACTCATCCTACGTGTATTGTCCGGGCTCACGGTGAAGACTGCCAACTCCTGCCTCCCGACTGCCTGTGCCTCTTCCCATTCAGCCTCTCCTGCCTCTGCTCCTCCCACCTTCTCCCCCCATTCCCGTTACCCCATCTCCTCCCCCCTTCCCGCTACCATATAGAGTAACTACGTTGCTTGTCAGCGATGGCGATCTCTGCTCTCCGGCCCTTCCAGGAAGACGAACGTTGTGCTAATGCTCCATTCCCGACTCTTCCCTAAGTTAGAAATCTGCCCCCCACCGTCTTCCCTCCTGTTTCCCGCTTTCTCTCTTCTCGTATTCCATACTTTCCCGATCCCAAATTTCCTAATTTCAGTCTGCACCCGGACCCACATTTCCGCCCATATTCGGATCCACACTACTGCCTCAGACTTTCCGCCGTTCACCCTTCCCGTTCCTACATATTTTTCTAGAATTCAAAAACAATCTAACCTTCTGTCTCCTAAAGCCTGTACCCCGCTGGCGCGTACTTTTGGACTCACAAATTACAAAAAACAGAATAAAGATACAAATCCCAAATTGAGACCACCTTCGCATACCCCCCGACCCCACAACATCACATAAAAACCCTTCCTACTACCCGTCCTTGCTTTTGTGTCCCATATTGTACAATCCCTCCGATAAACAAGACCCCCTTTTTTTCTCCCTGCCCCCGGTGTGTCAGCACATTTTCCCTTCCTCCTATACCCATCCCCCAAACTTCAGCATTCCGGGGTACCAACCGGAGAGCGTAGCTCTCCAGTGACCACTGGACAATTTGGCAAACTTTGGCAAAGCCCCGAGAGAGACCTCCTGAGGATACCCTCGGAGGCGTGCTTCGATCGTCATGGCTGAAATGGCTGCAATCGTGGCCTCATCAGAAGTCGACATCCGGTATGCTCTCAGCATTCCTGCGGCAAGTGTGGACTTCTTTGTTGATTTCTTGGAGAACGAGCTGTAATCCTGCATTGAGTGTATCCTTAGCTTCCCTTCCTCCAATATGTTGCGCTGGTTCCTTGTTCTAGGGAAGATATGAATCTGAATCGGTGCTCCATCCACCATCACCTTGGTTCCTAGGAACTCCATCGAATTCCCTCCGCCATCTTTTCTGACTAAACTTAGGCTTTCATCATAGCAGGACTCGAAAGCTCTGAATATCGATACGACCTTCCGATGTGCTTCTCTTCCCTGGTCTTGCATTCCGACAACTACCGCAACGTCATCTATCATCCTTAGCCCTCTCACCATCCTTCTGTCCTGTTCCAGAGAATCCAAAACGCTACTTTCGATCTCGCGCATACTAGGCATGCTAACGTCGGACTGGAATTCCTCCCCAGCGGTATCCCAAACACCTGTCTCAATATCTCCCCTGCGCATGTCACAAAAGCATTTCCGAGCTCAAATTTCACGGCCCTCAGAATCGCATCGAATTTCAGAAGTACATATCCTTCACTTTTTCTTTCATTCCGCGCCATCATACACATCTTTCCTCTCTGACTCACCCTCACTCCTTGCATATTCCTACGCCTGTGGTACTCTACTAGCCACCTTACTGCTTCCATCACACTCTCATGCGACAACCTTGCAAACATGTCCTTTACGTCGTAGCTCCTTACCTGTGCATACTCATACTCTCCCCCCATCTCATTCTGAATTCTTACACACTTGTCTCTCAGCACATCCGTTGCTCGTAGATCAAAGTGTTTCTCATCGTCGATTGCATACATCATATACCTTAATGCCCTACCCAGTCTTGCCCCCGCCAACCTTGCCGGGTCCCTGCTTGCGGGTGATATCGGCCTCCATCTCTCAACATCTTTGTCCTTCGGCATTACGTATGCCTTCCCTATCTCCCCGCCTTTCCCCCATGATGTGATCTTCCCCAATCCTTCCTTTTCATAGCTTGCTTTCATATCACCCATTACCTGTTCTTCTGTCCTCTGCACAGGTATGAAACTCGCATTCCAGTTGAAGGCCTTATTGCACGTGTGCATGTATAACACTGGGCACAATACCAGATTGTCACCCGGGTTCCGATCTATGGGTACCACGATCATTCCCAACAACGTTTTGCCCACTCCCTCACTTCCCATCTGCTCATCGCCCTATCCCCCACCCTTGGTTGATGTCGGTAACACCCCAAAAGATCCTGGTCTCGTACAATTATATTCTTCCCCTTCCCCATGTTCCCACAGCGTCCTTAATGCATTTCCTCAGCACATCCATTGATACGCGGTTTGCACATGTCACATTCCTTGAATTCCTGACGAATTCTGGGACTTCCGGTATGTCATCTAATCTCACTTTCACATGCCCTTGCGATCTGGCCCATATTGCATGCCTGCAATTACAGAACACTCTCCTTGCCCCAGCGCACTGACAGTGGTTATGTATTATCTACCCGACCGTCCGACTTTTTTTTAATACTACTCTCGTCCGCTGTGCTACGTAGACTTCTATCTGCGGATCCTTGACGAGTTGCTTAATGATCTCCTCCATCACTTCCCTTACCTTGTTCGCCTCAACCTCTGTCGAAAATGGTATCTTTACCAATGGTCTCCTCCTAATTTCCGTCTCAAATCTCACCCTCACCACCCTTGACACCTTATTCTTCAGCAAATATCTCGTCGAACAGTGCTAATAGCTCAAACGAATTCTTCATGTACCACGCCCTTACCTTCCATGGTTGCCTCAGCATTTCCTTTAGCACATTCCTCCGGTGCTCCATGGCTGACACAGTCACTTTCACTCTCACGACTGTGCACCTCCCTCCATTCTCGAAAAACTGCTTACAATTCTTAAGAAGACATCTTCTCTCATCTACCTCCATGATGGTTTCCCCCACCTTGCTCTTTACGTTTCTCCACTTATCTACCCATACTGTCCCTCCCGATGCATTCGCCTGAGCAGATCTATCACTGACGTTGAGTCATTAAACAGGATTATCCTCCCTTGCCTTGCATATGCCACACGCTTTCCTATTTCCCTCCTCCCTTTCCTCTTCTTCCTCCTACGCAGTCCTTCTGCCCTCCCATGGACATTAAGTGTCGGAAAGAACCTCTTTATTAAAGTTCTTTTTACTACCTACGGTTCCCCCACTCCTGCCACTAAGGGTAGAATCAGATACTTCCTCCATCCAAACATCTTCAACCACAGGTGCAATTTCGGAGAATTTCCGGCGAACTTCACATGTTCAGACCATCTCAGAATAAAGCTCCTAGTTGTGCAACCGATGTAGTAATGCCTGCACCAAGGGCTTACCAGCGCGTACACTCCTGAGTCTCTCGTTGAGAGATCTCCCTCCCCCTCCCCAATTACCCCTCCCCACCTCCTTGCCCATGGTATGCACCCGTTAATCACGGCTAGCACAAACGTTCTAGCGATCCATTCCCCCTTCTTATAATCTAACTGGCATTGCATCAGACCACTGACCCTACCCCCTTCCATCATCAGTTTTTCAAGCTCCTTTAGGTGCTCCATATTTCCTGTTTACCGTCCGGACAACGAAGTCGCGACTCCCTCGACGCCCTCATATGCCAGGTTCGTCTTGCATCACCAGCTCATTAACTACCGTTTCTTTTCTCGTTCACTCCACCCCTTCCTCACTGCATATCTTCTTCAGCTCTGGCGCCTTTTTTGCCGACAACTTCTGATGCATCTCCAAAGCATACTCTAAGATCTCAACCCCTCCTGCTCTGTTTCACGCTGGTGGTGTGTGTTCTTCCGACAGATCATCGACATTTGTTCATCCTCGTTCTCAGTGCCACAAACCTCCCTTCTGCATCCGTAATCCTTTGTTTCCCTTTCCGCTTCTCTATCGCGTCAACGAGTCTCCCCACATCTTCCCTTACCTCATCACTATCGTCTTCGGACTCATCGAAATAGCTTCTCATTTCCCTCAGAACTTGTGCTTTCGTACGGGGCCAT